CTAGCTGCAGATTAAAGCAGAAAAGTTCTGCACCCTAGGACCAGAAAGACTAGACAGGCCAAGGCAAGAAGATCAAAGAAAATTTGCAGCATAATGTAAACGTAATATTCTACCTTAAAAGCCTACTGAATAAAACCTAAACTAGTCCACTTGGAGTTAATATTCTGGAATTGGTGTGTTATACTTGTGTCATTTTATTTTGTAATTTAACTGCTTTAGCACACACTACAAATGCCTGGGGCCCAAATTTTGGTTTTCAGCTGCCTTTCCTAGTGTTTCAGCAGTATCACAGGGGGTTACAAAACCTAGAAACACTACCTAGACAAAGTCCCCAGCATAAGAGGAACTCAAGCTCAGAAGCCAATGAATAGCTTCCAAAGCAGTTTTACAGCAGCCTTCTTACCTGCTCCCAGCATAGGGGACATGCCAGAGAGGAGGAGCACCTTTGCACTCTGGCTATTCTCAGCAGGTAGAGATCTCATAGTTAGTACAATAACTACTGAGAGCCAGGCACAGAATACCAGGGCATGCAAAGATGAGTCTCTTTCATCATCCTACATTCCTGCAACTAGCTAAATTTGCTGGGAAAAGAATTGAGGCCATAATCTCTAAATCCACCATGCACATCCAATACCCATGAGCCTGTCATTTACTTCACCTTAATCATTTTAACAGGGCAGTGATTTAAGCATCAGAATGTCACTGGCACCATCTTGTTCACAAGTCAGTTTTTTCTAATTATTATAGGCAACAAAATGTACTTTATGATAGTGCCAAATCACCTCAAACTGGGATTGGGACTCCATTGTGCTGGGTGCCATACACAGAAAATATAATGTTACCCTCACTGTTTACAACTTAAAGGCCATGCCTACATTTGGAAAAAATGGGATATTTTAACTTATATTAACTAACATGTTACACACTTTTTCTTAATGAAGATAAATTCACTTGCAATATGCATAATATACTGTTTCTGGCCAATGTGCAGTTGACACAGAGCTGGAAAAGTTATTTTACCATTGGTGAATAGGAAATAAAAAGTGAGATCTAACTAATGTTTCCTCTAATCTTCTTTTCTATCCGTGTGCAGATTTTTTCCAAATTCCTGGTCTTCACCAAGAAAAAAGTATATTTATCATGTGTTTACTAACATGTTAACTAACTTTCAAATTCCAATCTAGATAAGGCAAGTTGAAGTTTTATCAGGTAAATAATGCTAAGGTAAACCTGCAGGAGAGCAAATATGGATACTGAGGGAGCCTCAGATTTACATGTCAGCTAACCAATTTAGACGTAGAGATCATTTAATAGAAGTGAAAAGGTCATATAGAGTTCAAGATAATAGAATGAAAATCTGCTTTATGGTAATTCTGGTTTAATCTAAAATGTAGAACTCAGAAACAAAATACTTTCAAGAGATTACTTGCAAAGATCTAAATTGCTCTACCTAGAGCACAGCCTCAACTATACAGGGTTGGAGGAGAAAATGGCACATTTCACATCCTTGAGGGCATACAACTGGAAACTGTTTCTGGCAATTGTGCAGTTGACACAGGGCTAGAAAGTTAATTTGCCACTGGTGAAGAAGAAGCAAATGGAGAGATCATCATCTAACCCATCAGTTTCTGCCACAGCTTGTGTTGGTTTTTATTTTATTTTTTACATTAACTTTTTAACCTTTATGAAGATAAACTTCCAAATGTTCATAAAATGCTATGTCCCCGAGCCTGGACTGAAACAGTATATTGCTACTCCTTCCTTTTTGAAACAGGAGGAGGAGCATTACATTGACAAGGCATTGGTCAGTTTAACAGATGCTATACTGAACCCTGACAACAACCGTGAACTTTGAAACCAAGTCAGTGGAGGTGCCATTACATTTGCTACTGGCTTTTCCCTCACATCCTCATGTTTCACATTTCACAACCTCAAGCTAATACCACTGTGATTAACTGGTGCCTGATAAGTGTCATAGCTTTCCCAAATCGTTGTGAAGTGCAAAACTACTACAGGTTGAACCCTCTCTAGGGCAGCACCCTCAGGACCTGACCAGTGCCAAACAAGAGAATTTGCTGTCTAGCAGCATTAGCATCACATCCACTGGTTACTAAGCTCTTAATTAGAGCTAAACAACAGTTCAGAACACAGAGCCAGGACTGGTGGTGGTAAACAAACTTTACGGGACTACGGGAAACTTGGCCATCCCCATGATAAGGGGACATCCGGTTAACTAAAATCATTCCAGACCACAGATGTTGCCAGATCAGAAAGGTTCGATCTGTAGTATTTTCAGCTTTCACTTCTATAATACCCTGTGGACGGGGCGGGGGAGGAGGAGGCAAAAATAACATTACTTCATTGGTAACTACTTGTGGAAAAACATTTAAGCAACAGAAACAAGAACTGAAACTATTCGCTCAGAGGTACCCCAACTAAAGGATAGGAGTGGATACCATATTAAGAACCATTCTAGATGCAATTAGCGAGAGCAAACATGGTATTTTGGGATAAGTAGAGGGAATATGAGTAGTCCCTCTTAGGAATAGATGGTGGCAACTGTATATTTAAATACTAGCTATCCAAATGCTAAAACAAGAGAGATACCAGGGTACTGACTGTGGACAATGAGAATCTCTACCAAATCTTTCATATCTATTTATATAGCCCAATTTTTTTCAGGCCCTGATATCACTATATAATGACAGAAAAGGAATGTATTTAAATACATTCCTTTTCTGATTTCTTTTTCTGGACTTGAGGCAGTTACTTTGCAGTATCTGCATCTTCTTCTCTCCCTCCTTTCTTCTAGAAAAGTTGGTGGCTAGACTCTGATCCATAACATTAGATTTAGAGAGAGACTATCGCAAGTTTGCACCCTTCTTTTACAACCAAGTGGTGCCATAGTTTTGCTATCTCTCTCCCCTCCGCCATTCTTTTTGATGTATTATTATTATCATTTTAGCAGTAACTCAACAATTAAAACATTCTACTCACAAAATAAGGCATTTTATTTTTTAAAAATAACATCTGAAAATTCATCTGTTTGCTTCATGCACCTTATGGTCTTAAAGGAAATTTGGGGTTTAGTTTGTTTCTGAAATAGTGGAAAATATAAACATGCTTTGCCTTTTACTTGACCTTTTATATTTCATTTTGATAAGTTAATGTAAAGGCAACAGGAATATTTATCTTTCCACAGCTATATACTGTCAATATTCTCCTGTTATACAAATGAGTACTGTACAGCAAGGTTGTTTTGCTGAGTGACAGTTTGCAAAGCACAAGACCTTGTTTAAAAAGCATTGTTCCTTTTAGTTACATCAAAAAGAAATATGAATATACACTTCATGACTCAATGGTGTTATAAAATTTAACTGTTCCACATTAGATCAACAGGAATATGCAATTTCTTAGCCTTATTTACCAATTAGGATTTTTTGTTGGTTTATTTTTTAACTGAACTGTAAGTCACATTTTGCCTTACTAAATGAGCATTCTCCTAGAACAAGAGTAACACCTTGTAAATCACATTTAAATTTCTCTGCCACACAAGCACCAAGAAAAAAAACCAAAGGGTTACAAACGCCCATCTGTACTTTATAATCCTTATGTAACTTGAATAATAGTCAGCAATAAGCCCAAAGTGACTCTCAGGGGGACAAAAAGATAAATACAGTCAATTTTTTCTTTAGAACAGACCTGTTGATCTGAGGAAGTGGGTCTGGCCCACGAAAGCTCATCATCTAATAAACCATCTTGTTAGTCTTTAAAGTGCTACATTGTCCTGCATTTTGCTGTTGATCCAGATATCTGAACTCAAGGATAAATTGATGAATAAGAAGTCCAAATAATAATTCTAAGTGCTTGTTCTCAGAGTCCAGAATAAAACTGAACTTGATTCCGCTTACTAAGCACAATGAACATAAATTAAGCTGTTAGGTTGCAGAAAAGTCTTGTTTGCCCAGTTAAGATCAACAGCACATAATTGAGCACCACATGCCTAATCTCGGAAGCATGACAGACATTTTACATTATCTCAGTTACATATCTGTTGCAAATAAAAACAATGGTTAGAAAATAATATGGCATTATGTCCTACTCTCAAGCAGGTAGTTTCCACCTGAACTAACCCTTATACAAGCAAACTCAACAGGCTCATTTTCCTACAGAATATCACAACAGCTAACAACAGGATGACATCCCCAATGACAAACTATTTTCCCTTCACTGATACACGAAGCTTCTTGGAAATGAAGACTGTTTTTTTATGTTCCGTTAACACCTTATTTACCAGCTACCCGTGCCGCTATACCCCGACAAAGTCACTGACACGTCAGATGTGTGCAAGCAGGGGTAGCAACGGGGCACTGTTGGTCCTGCGCCATAACTGCAGCTTCAGGCGAACGCAAGTCCCACCGTAGCGGTCTCTTTCCTCCCCCCACACAGCTCCCACCACATGAAAGAAACAAATGCAGGAACTCAGGCCAGCCCCGCACTCCGCGGAGCACCTGCCCCTAACCGGACCGGGCGGCAGCCATCGCACCAGGCTGGAGCTAAGATTTCACGGGGGTGATGCCCCACTGGCAGGATGGCCCCTCAACAGCGCCCAGGAAGCTCAGCTCTGCCGGGGCGGTCAGACCGTGCCTGCACCCGGGCAGCTGGAAGAGAGGCGGCAGTCCCACGTCCGGCCAGCAGCAGTAAGGAAAGGGAAAGTTGGGTAACTCGCCCACCCAAGGCTTAAAACTCGCCCCCTTCCGCCGGCAACAGCGCCCTCCGCGTGCCCTCTGCCCCGCTCACCTTGGGGAAGGTGCCCTCCCGGCGGGGGCTTTTGGGATGGTCGAAGTGGCCCCTGTCCAGCATCAGGTAGAGGGAGAAGATCACGACGCAGAAGATCGCGCTGCCGAACACCGTGAACTGCCTGCTCAGCTTCATGTCCCCGGGCAGCGGGCCCCGCCGCCTCCCAACAGCGCCCTCCGCGTGCCCTCTGCCCCGCTCACCTTGGGGAAGGTGCCCTCCCGGCGGGGGCTTTTGGGATGGTCGAAGTGGCCCCTGTCCAGCATCAGGTAGAGGGAGAAGATCACGACGCAGAAGATCGCGCTGCCGAACACCGTGAACTGCCTGCTCAGCTTCATGTCCCCGGGCAGCGGGCCCCGCCGCCTCCCAGCGCCCAGCCCGCAGCGCGCTCGCCCGGCCGGGGCCGACAGGCAGCAGCTCTCCCAGCACTCGCTCCACCTCTGGGGGCGCCCCGCGCCCCCCA